GTCCTGGTCCKGCCTCGATGGTCTCTCCGTAGATGTCCTCGTCCCCACCCCATCTCCCTGCCACAAGCCCCTCCCTATACACAGCCAGGGGACACTTACCGTCCCTCTCCCATGCCAGACTCCCACCACCTCACCCTGGCCACAGTCCTCTTACTTACAGAGCCCTGGGTCCCCCCCCCCCCAACCCCGTGTGTCCACTGTAAGCCCCAAGCACCAGGCTGGAGCTGCTCCCTGCCTGGCCCTGACCACCTCTCTGCCGGTGTTCCTGTCCCTGCTCGAGGTCACCTCAGCAGGCATTCCCTCTGGGAGAGAGCCCTCCCCTCCCTGTGGCCCCTGCTGGGCTGCAGGATAACCATGGCTCCAGTTGTGGCGTCCTGTGAGCAGGTTGCCTTGGTTCATCTGTCCCCTCTGGACCCCAGGGGGTTTTTGCAGAGCAGACAGTGGGCACTGACCAGCTGACCCTGAGAAGAGAAGGCTGGGGAGACAAAAGGTTGGCTGACTCCACACTCGGGAAGCCCCATGTCGGGTACACCACGAGGACGGGATGCTGGTTGGAGGTCACGCTCCAGGTGTTTATGTCAACAGACACTCTGCTGTCATGTGCACCTAAAAAGAACACACAAAGAAGTTAACTTAAAATAGAGGCATCGGCCTTCTTGGGCTTTGGCTGAGAAGTAGCTCTTCCCTTGGCCTGCCTTCTGGGGAGGCAGGTCACGGCAATCCACTGTCTCCAGGGAGGGCAAGGGCAGGAGTGGTCAGGCAGCGCTGGGCTTACATTTAAGTTACCACCGTGAGTGCAGAGCTCTGCCCACTGCCCAGGTGCACTGGCCGCTGGTGGCTCCTGGGCTGCGGATAGGGAGCACTGACACCCTGGCAGAGAGCTCTGTGGGCAGGTGCTGGTTGGGAGCATCACGGCTGGCTTCCAGTCCTTGGGCACCTACGGAGCAGGCAGCGGGGCTCCCATTGGGAGGTGGAAGTGCCAGCTCCTGTCTCACTCTAAGAGGGACCCCTGCTCCCCCAGCCTCCCCCGGCCTCTCGTCTCTCCTGCTCTGGGCAGACACCAGCCGAGGCCCCTGTAGGGGTGAAGCGCCAGCTCTGGCTCCGGTCAGCCTGCAGCCCTGGCTGGATGGCTGAGCGTGAGGCCGTGAGCGGTGGAATCCCCCCGGCTGGGCTGCCTCTCCCATCCCCTTGGTCCCCTTCTACGCTGACCTGGAGGGGCTCCCAAAGCCGCCGGCTGGCCCATGCCCTCGACACCAGTGAACCCTGCAGCAGCTCCGGGAGCAGAGAGGAGCTGGCTTTTATTGATTCAGGAGCAGACGAATCTTGAGGTCTAATAAAAAGTGCCGAAAAGATGCAGCCCCCGAGGCTGGGTCGCGGCTGCACTGGAGGCTGCTTGGTGGGTCCTGCAGCAGCAACTGTGGCCGGGTCAGCACCCCGGGGCCAGGGGACCCAGCTCCTTTATTTTTAATTCGGGGGGCAAACTTAAGTGGGCAAGTTTGGGAAAAAGCAGGAAATGAACAGAAAAGTCGTTTGTTTTATTTATTTATTTTTGGTGTTAGGTATTAAGCCCAGGGTCCTTTACTGCTAGACTACAACCTCAGCCCTTTTTATTTTACTTTATTTTGAGAGAGAGTCTCCTAAGTTGCAGAGGCTCATCTCAAATCTGCCATCCTCCTGCCTCAGCTTCCCAAGTCAGCAAGATTCCAGGCATGTGCGGCAGCACCTGGCTCGGGGAAGTCACTGTTTAAAGTGAGCCTGCACGTCCCTGTAGCTGGTACTCACCGTGAAGGTTCCCAAGTCCCTGCATTAGGGAGGGGGGCATGGCAGGTGGCAGAAAATCTGAGCCCAGACCATTAGAAAGTGTGCTTTCAGCAGACCCTCCCCCACTCCTGCAGGACCCTCCCCAGGTGTGCGCCAGGAGCAAGGTGGTACCACCCTGCCAGCTCGATGTCGGGGCCGCTGCTGCCCACGTCAGAATCACGTGGAGGTGTGCTGCTTTCCCAGATAGCTGGGCCAGCCCCAGGGCCTCCTGGATGGTGTTGACAGCTCAGGCCACCCTGGGGACACCTCACAGTTTCTGTCCCCTCTCAGCGGGAGCGGGGCATGCCATGTGCTTTCTGGAGGGGACCGAGGTGAGGCTGTGGTGCTTGGGGCGAGAGAACTGAACCCACTGCTGGGCCGGCTGTGTGAGAGGTGGGTGGGGACAGAGAAGTGACCCTTTTGCCCCACAGGGAGAGGAGGCTCAATCTGCGGATCCTTGCAGGCTGGGGCAGGAAGTTCCACTGAGGAGGACAGTCAAACCGAGAAGGCTCCCATGGAGCACTGTCCCTGGGGGTCCAGCTGCATTTGGGGGCAGGACAGGAGGGAGGGACAACCATGGATGGTTCCCCAACAGAGGGAGCATCCGGGGAGCCTTGACAGAGCAGCTGGTCCCCAGGCCCTGCTGGAGTGAGGGGTGGCCTCTGGCCTTCATTCTGTTGCTCACCCTGAGCAGGGTCCAAGCAGAGTGAGTGGGGCCCTCGTTCCGACGTGCAGGTTCTGGCTGCCCCGGGGCCTGGCCATGTCTAAGAGGCGAAGTGGTCCTCACCGTCCCTCTTTACCCTCCTCGGGCCCCTGGCTGCTTCTCCAAGTGGGCTCTGTGCCGGCGAGCTCCACTCTGCAGTTAGGAGGGTCTGAGAACTGTGACGGTGACCCTGCAAAGCCACCAGGGTGTTCTGATGTGAGGTGAGGACTGAGGTGCTGCTTGAGAATCTTCTGGAAGGGGCTGTTGGTGACGGCACCCTGACTAGGGGCAGGCCGGGGGTGGGAGCTGGGGCTTGTGGCTGGCACAGTGAGTTCCCAGAGCTGTGGCCCCAGGGCCCTGCCTCCCGGGAGCGGCAAGCCAGGTCCACCTGGGAAACTGAGCTGTCTTGGACGCCTCACTGCGCCTAATACGCTGTCATTGCCCGGGGAGTGTGAGACGGGGTAAGGGGATACACAGCCCCAGAAACCTCCTCACTGTCCCCCCGAGGGAGGAGCACGTGGGACCCACTCCTGGGACTTGGGCTAGCCTGGAAGGCTGCCCACCTGAGCCCTGGACACCACAGGCGGTGGGCGGGAGCCTTGCTTCTCCTTGCAGCCTGGCCTTACCTCCGCACCCTGCTCAGAGCTGGCTCGTGACTAACGTGGGCCTCCTCGGAGCCAATGGGCGCCGCCAGGCTTTTGGTTTCACGTTGTCCCCTGCTTGGGCCAGAATGCTTGCATTTTTAGGCACAGTGGAGAAACAGACCTTGAGCTCAGCTGTGCCATGGAGAACTGAGGGTCAAGGCTGAGCTGGGCACTGCACAGACCACAGCAGTGAACCCAGAGCGGGCACAGCCCTGGCCGTGGCCACTCCCCCCGTTTCCGCCAGCTGGCCAGGTCGGTGGCCTCCGGGGCCTTCCTGGCTTGCCTGCAGGAGGGACACGGTGCTGGAGAGGCTGGTGTGGGATTAACAGGGCTTCTTTGTACTTTTCCTGTGGTTTCTAAACTCAATACAATGAACAAACATTACAGTTGTAATCAGAGAAAAAAAGCAGAGTTTTTTTTCAGAGTCAGACGAGTACACAGCTCACCCCCAGGCCCCCTCGATTCTCACTGCTCTGTCAGTGACGGTCCGTGGCCGGTGACAGTGTTTAAGAGGTTGAGTAACAGAAAACAGCTACAGCGAACGTGCCTCTCGATCCGTCTGGGGTGCTGGCTGGGGGTCTCATGGCTGCTGTAGCGAGCTCCCCCAAACTGGGTGCTAAAACTCCGCAGCTGTGCCCTCCCAGGGCTCTGGAGGCACCGCGTCTGACCTGAGTTGTCTGCAAATCCGGGCTCCCTCCAGAAGCCAGGGGAGGCCCCGGGGCCTCTCCCAGCCTCCAGTGGCTCAGGCTCTCCCAGCCTTCAGGCGGAGTCTCACCCTCTCTCTCCACGTTCCCCGTCCTGCTCCGTGCAGCAACAGCTCCCTCTTACATGGGAACGTGTGATGGCCTTAAGGGTCCACCTGGGTGATCCAAGGCCCTGTCCCCATCCTTCACTTAGTCACACCTATAGAGACCCTTTTCCAAATCGGTCACAGTTGCGGGCTCTAGGAACTAGGGCCCTTATTCAGCCCACTGCCCTGACCAAGACACTGTTCCCACCTTCTCTGTGCAGACTGTCCTGTGGGGCTGCCCTTCAGGCTCCTGGGGAGGGGGCAGTTGCTATTCCGTGTCTCCCAGGAGGCTGGAGATTATACCCCCACCCCCGAATCCTGCAAGAAATGCCCTTGCTGTAGGCCAGTGCCTTGGGGGGTCCTGTCCCAGGCAGGGAGGGGGTCAGGTGGCAGAGTGTCAGTGACACATGGGGCCTTTGGCTCTGTCGTCCAGCTGAAAACGATACCGATACCGGAGCCTTACCTGGCCACGCATAACTCACCTGTGCTGAGGCAGGGATCGTGAACTTGGAGGCCTCTGGGGGGCAGGCACCTAGTGGGAATGCGTAAGAGACCGTGGGGACTGGAGCAGATGCCAAGGGAGGACTGCAGTCTTCAGGCCAGGAAGGAAGTGCCCCCGTCTGACCACATCCCCTCACTTTGTCAAGAGAAGCTAAAAATCTGGAGTTTTTAGGGAAGTAGCCTCATTTTAACACTGACACAAATATACATTTCCTTTAAACAGAAATGAGAAAGCAAAACCTCTCTCTGCCTCAGTTTTGCAGGGACCCTTGCGGTGGGGATGCCTCTGCCCCACCGGGGACTGACCTGCTCTGCCCAATTCCTCCACCCCTGCCCAGACACTGACCGGGTGCTGGTGGGGACCCCGAGGTTCCAGGTGAGCAGCCCCTGGAACTCCAGTGGGAAAAGGCAGGGAGCTGCCCRCCCCCTGGGAGCCGTGGAGTCTGGGGAAATGAGCCACAAGAGGACTTGCTCCCTCCCAGGGGACTGCCCAGACTTACTGACTCATGCTCTGTGGTAGGAATCTTCCAGGAAGCCTCTGCTGGGGTGGGGACGGCAGCTCCCTCTGACACAGCAGGCTAGGCTAGCGGCAGAGGGGCACCTTCGTAGGGTTCATCCTGGGCAGGTGCTCTGGAACCTTCTCCCAGCCAGCCTGCATGCCTGGGGAGGTGTCCATCTCCCATCCAGCCCAGTCGGGGTGCCAAGGAAGGGCCAGGCCAGTGGGGCCAGAGGCAGGCGAGGCAGGCAGCAGGAACTGGGCTTTTTAAACACTTAAACCCCAGGAAATCGCGGCATTGCTGGACGGGGAAAATGAAAGACTTTGGAAGTCGCCAGGAATTTGACTCTGCGAGTTGGTTTCCAAGAGCCTAAGTTAAGCATCTCCAAGTGGATATTAAAAAGGAGCAGCGAGGCTCAGGGCGGCGGGGGCTGGAGGGGGTGGAGAGAGGACGCCGCCGCCGGAAGCTGGACGCTGGACGACTGAAGCCACCGCTCCGAAGGCCAGGCGGCCGGTCCTCGTGCAGGAGGACCCTGGGCGCGGCGGGATCCCTCCGGACCCACCTCTGGGCCCCTCTCCTCAGCTTCCCCCCCCTCCCGTCTCTCTCCTCGCTGCCTTTCCCTCCTGTTTTGAAGAGACAATGCTACTTCAGTTTGGAGCACAAACATATGATCAGCACATGGAAATGTGGTAATTTGGATGCATTCGTGATTGCAACAGATTGAAGAAATTAGACCAGACAAAGAGTGTTTTTGGAGGAGGAGGAGGAGGAGGCAGAGAGAGGGAGGGCGACCGACGGGTGAGAAAGGGGAGGACGCCTGCCTCTGAACCAGGGCCGCTGGGACTCCCGCCTGCTGCTAAATAGACCCGTAGGAATGGAGAGGGACCGGATCACAGGTAGGCAGAAGGCCCTCCTCGCCCCACTCCCCCGCCCAGTTCCCCGGACTGGGCTCTATGGATGTTGCGGGAAATAAGCACCCAAGGGTCACTTTTACTCATTTTTTTGAGAAATATTTTCCTTTTGACTGTTCTCAGTTCGTGGGGTGGAATGTTTCTCCCAAACCTAAGCGCTTCCAAGTCTGGCTTTTATTTAAGCTCGGCTCTCCTCTCTCCTTGCAATTTCTCTTTCATTTTCCAACATGCCAGTTTTGCATCTGCGTCCACGGTGATGTGGGCACGAAGGCCCGGGCAAGGGTGGGGGCCTGCAGTGGCGCTCGGGGTGGGCGCCGCCAGGCCTGTTTGTCCACTGTGTGGTTTGTGTTCTTGCTGCCAACCCAAGTCTGTCTTCAAGGCTGTCTTGGTCTCCTCCCCGAAATAGCTTTTCTGGGCCTCCCTGGCAGTTGATTATAGAGGTGGAGGCTCCCGGCGCTCAGAGGAGGCGTGCGCGCGCGTGCGCATGTGTGCGCTCTCGTGTGCGTGCGCACGTGCACATGTGGCTCTTGCGGACCCCCAGCAGGCACGGGCCGTGGGGCGGGGCGTGAGTGGATAAATGAAAGGGAGGCGTCTCCTGCTTGGACCTCCTCAGTGAGGAAATCCGATTTCCAGGCCAAGCCCTGGAAGTGCCGAGGCGCTGCGAGGGGGCTGCGGTCCTTGGGATGCGCTGGAGACTGTGCCCAAGAGTGGGCGCACCCCTCTGAGCCGGGTGCAGAATCCTCCGGTGTGCGCCGCGCTCCCGGCTCCTGGTGTCCTGAGGTGCCCTGGGTCATGCTAAGCCTAAGAACGCCATCCCATAAGTGCCCGTGGCCCTGGTCTGTCGTTGTGATGGGGATCCTGTGTGTGTGTAGGGGGTCCCTAAAAGACCCCTCAGTGGCCGTTTGGAAGGATGGGATCCTCCCCTGCCACTCTTGAGGCAGTGTCAGAATTGGCTGGGCAGCTCTGAGAGGCCGGCCGGGAGGGTCCTGCCGTGGGGAGTGGGGAAGGTGCAGTATTTTGGGGCACGTAATAATAGGCGGTAGACGGAGCCCTGGAGGTGGGCAGCCAGAGACCCGCAGGAGGAGGGCCGGCTGTGAAACTGCAGCCCCGCTGATCCTGCTTGAGCTCAGGCACAGGTGCAGAGCCCGGGTGCCCTGGGCCGTCTGCAGGGACTGGGGCAGGGGCCACTGGGAGAGACCCTCTCTAGACCTGGGTGGGGTGTGGAGCTGACCCCAGAGCAGGCCACCTCCCACAGGCTGCCTCCTCAGCTGAGAGGGGGCCTCTGGTCCACCCTTTCTTTCTTTCTTTAGTCATGCTGGGGATCACACTCCAGGCCCTGGGGATGCTGGGCAAGGGCTCTMCCCGTGAGCCACACCCACCTCAGCTTTCATTTTATAGATGACCATGCAGGACCCCATTGGGCCACTACCTGGGGATCTGAATGTCAGAGCACAATCCCTGTTTGGATGTGTTTTTATTTTAAAAAGAATTTTTTTCTTTTCTTTTTTCCCCCCTCCTGAAACCCCGTTGTCAACCGGCACTAGGAGTCAGGAGGAGAACCCAGAGCTGTCTCCCAGCATGCTTTGCAGGCCACCAGGCCTCCCCTGTGGTCCTTAGCTGAGCCCTTGGCTCCAGTTTCTGGGCAAGCTCTTGTCCAGTCCCTGCTGGGTGACCTTGAGGGGTTACCCATGAGGCCCTAGGTGGCATCCCTCCCTCTCTGCCTTCCTGTGCGCTGGGCCCTCTGGCTTGTGCCCCTTTGTCCCACCRTCAGTGGTGACAGCTCCTTTAGTCCTCACCAGTGATCCAATGGGCCATGGGGCTGGGGGCAAGGGTGAGTGCATGTGTGGTCAGAGGCCTGCCCTCTGGGTGCCCCACCTGCCGATCCCTAGACACAGCTGTGGACACTGCTCACACCCCTGGCTGTTGGGTCCAGCCTGGCTGCCCAGCCGCTGTCTGGGGGTGGTGGTGGCCTGGTCCCGCCCTGGTGGGTCCACGGTGGTCTGCCCAGCCTCAGGGAAGGGACTTCTGCAGATGCCAGTGGCCCTTGGATCTGCTTCCTCTTTCTTCCTCTCTCCCCTCACCTGCCTCAGGAGCGGGGAACCCTGGGATCCCCCCCACTCCGACTTCTCTGAAGCCATCTTCCCTGGGAAGATGCTGTCTGCTTGTCAGCGGGGTGTGAGTCACGGAGCAGGGACAGGCTGCCGAGGCACAGAAGGCCATTCCTCCAGCCAAGGTCGGGAGTTTTGTTTTGGGCTGGCTTTGTGGCTTTTACAAATTAAGCAGTTTTATCTTGTTCCAAGAGCTTGTACTTCAGTAGGGACAGCGTCTCCAAGAAGGGGACTTCCCCTGGGAGCTGCTGCTCAGGGGGCCTYGGGAGGGTGGGAGCAGCCCCGCGGGGAGGCAGCATAGCCACTGAAGTCGCTGTGCRGTCACCAGGCTGGCCCAGCTTCCTGGAGCTGCCCGGCCGCCCTGGCCTGGGTGTTCTGCTGATGGGTATTTGGCCAGTGCAGAGGGGCAGAGCTGGGCCCTGCTCCCGTCAGGGTGGGCCCTCTGCCGTGGACCAGCAGGTAGCTGGAGGTGCCTGGAGTCTGTGCTTTGCTGTCCCTTCTGTCCTTGCTTTGTGGCCCCTCATCTGTGAGCCCCTGGGGAGTTGGCATCCTGGCCTGGGCGGGCACCGTGGCCACCRCTTCCTGCCAGCGCGGAGCTGTGAACCTTGGCTCTCAGCTCCAGGGTGAGAGGTTCCCCTGGGGCCCTCCTCGTGGTCTTCCTGTGCTGACCTGCTCTGATGGGCGGGACTTTGGTCCCTGTGGGATTTCCTGGTGGCTCACTCAGGAGCTTGCTCTTTCCCAGCTCTGGAGGCCAGAGTGCAGGTCAAGGTGGGCGGGGCTGGCCGCTCCGGAGCTCGGGGGCATCTGCTCGGCGACACTCCCGGCTGCTGGTGACCTCTTCGGCACTCCTTGGCTGGTAGCCACCTCACTCCAGCCTCCTCCTTGTCACACAGCCGCTCCCCTGTCCCTAATGCCCCTCTTTCTTATAAGGACACTCGTGGATTTGGGGCCCACTGGGTGACCGGGGATCATCACATCTCCAGATCCTTAATTCTGTCTCCAGAGACCCCTTTTTTTCTGAATAAAGCCACCTTCACAGGCTCCTAGGGGACCTCATTTGGGGGCCACCATTCATTCAGTCCCCATGTGTCCTGGATGCACCAGAGGTTCTGAGTCCCAGACCCCCACTGGCCTGCCTGGGCCTTTGCTGTGGCCACTGGCCCCTGCACTTGGTCGCTTACTCCTGGTGATGTGAGGAGGCCCAGCCCTGTGTGGGATTCCAGGGTGAGCTGACTCAGCTCCCCAGGGCGGTCTGGGCAGTGGGCTGAGGGCTGAGGCGGGGGCGAGACCCACAGATCCCAGTCAATATCGTTGCTCGCCAGCTTCATGTCTGCCCAGAAATTCTTCTGACTCGTGTTTGTTCTTTGTGAAGCCCCTCTAAGAGTGACCGAAGCATCGAAGTGCTGTGCATTAGAGAAGGGCCTTAGATAGCCACATAGCACAGGATCGGGGCTGCTTCCTACTGTTGGGGTGGTCACTGTGGACACTCTGTTCCCAGGGACTTGGGGTGCCCAGGGCTCTGCCTGGACTCTGACCTGGAGATCGAGTGGGTGCTGTTCATTCATTCATTCAACAAACCATGCCCACTGCGTACCTGCACTGGGTACCATGGAGAGCACACTGGACGGGCCTTGACCTAGGGCTGAATCACGTCGCTAGGACACCTGCGTGACAGAGCACAGAGGTGCGGCCCGTGGAGGGAGGGAGCTGGGTCAGGAAGGCTGCCCTCGGGCAGACACCTCAGGCCGAGCTCGAGCTCGGAAGGGAAGRCGAGGAGTGGACCAGGCCCCGGCCAGGCCTGCCCGGGGCAGCTGCAGGGCCTGAGGCCTGGGGGCTGGGGGAGTCGGGAGAGAGAGACGCTGACGGCTCCTGGGTGCTGCCAGGCCTCCTTCTGGACCTGCAGGTCTGGGGAGGCCTGGTCTCTCACCGCGTGGCTTGTCCACTGCCTGCCCGGTGCTGGCACTCCCGGGGCCTTGGCCCCTGTGGGTGGCTGTGTTGGAAGGCCCTGGAGGGAAGCGGCTCAGGAGGTGGCTCTCTGGACTCAGGCATTTCCCACGTCCCACCCCGCACCCCGGCTCCTCTGACGTCCACTGGACACAGCCCTCCTGTGCCATCCCTGCCTCTGACAACGTTGGGAAGGAGACCCTGGGCCTCCTCCCTGGCCCGGGGGCTCATCTCACTCCACCCTCAGATGGGTCTGTCTGCCCTCCTGCTCCACTGGCCCAGGACTGCGCTGCCCTCCTGCCCTCCTGCCCTCCTGCCCAGGTTGGACGCTCCAGCTGCCCACTGTGCCTCCTGCCCCCAAACCACACGGGCAGCAGGGTGCCCCCAGAGCTGCCCTTGAGCCCTACGCTGTTGTGTGCGGGGCCCGGGGCTCTGCCTGGCCGCCCCTGTCCTTGGCGGAGGCTCTGGGTGCCTGGGCACAAGCCACCATGCAGGGAGCCCCAGGGTGCCCTGAGGGGCTCCCGAAGCCCAGGCTGGGCAGCGGCTCTCAGGACCGGCAGGGCCAGGGTGCTCTGGGGAGGGGATGGGATGGCATGGGATGTGGTAGGTGTGGGGACCCCKCTTCCTAGTAGGCGGCCCCCCTTTGGAGAGCTGGTTGGGCCCTGGCCACACCCGACTCAGGGCAGAGCAGGACAGCTTCCAGCCTCAGGGCTCCTGTCTGCTGGGGTTCAGGTCTCTGCCCCTCTCCCCCTCCCCCTCTCCCTGTCCCCCTCCCCCTCTCCCCCTCCCTCTCTGTCCCTCACCTGCCCTGTCCCTGGCCCCCTCCCTCCCTGTGTCCCTCACCTGCCCTGTCCCTGGCCCCTTCCCTCCCTGCGTCCCTCCCCCGCCCTGCCCCTCCCCCCCTCCCCCTCTCCCCTCCCCCTCTGCCCCTGT